ATTCCATCTATCAGAAATTGAGAAGAAAAATTAATATAAGATTTCGTAAATCGATATATTCCTATTTCCCAGAAATTGTGATATTATTATTCTTCATATTGGAAATCTGTTTTATTGTAATATTAAAAAATGCTTGTATTAAGATGTTGAACGGAATCAACTCAATGTTTAACCGAGTTTCTTGACTGGAATAATGATATTTTCGACGCTGTTGAGATAAATATTACCAAACATTTAATATTTATGTATAACTATTCCATCTATCAGAAATTGAGAAGAAAAATTAATATAAGATTTCGTAAATCGATATATTCCTATTTCCCAGAAATTGTGATATTATTATTCTTCATATTGGAAATCTGTTTTATTGTAATATTAAAAAAATGCTTGTATTAAGATGTTGAACGGAATCAACTCAATGTTTAACCGAGTTTCTTGACTGGAATAATGATATTTTCGACGCTGTTGAGATAAATATTACCAAAAATTTAATATTTATGTATAACTATTCCATCTATCAGAAATTGAGAAGAAAAATTAATATAAGATTTCGTAAATCGATATATTCCTATTTCCCAGAAATTGTGATAATATTATTCTTCATATTGGAAATATTCTGTTTTATTGTAATATTAAAAAAATGCTTGTATTAAGATGTTGAACAGAATCAACTCAACGTTTAACCGAGTTTCTTGACTGGAATAATGATATTTTCGACGCTGTTGAGATAAATATTATCAAAGATTTAATATTTATGTATAACTATTCCATCTATCAGAAATTGAGAATAAAAATTAATAAGATTTCATAAATCGATATATTCCTATTTCCCAGAAATTGTGATAATATTATTCTTCATATTGGAAATCTATTTTATTGTAATATAAAAAAAATGCTTGTATTAAGATGTTGAACAGAATCAACTCAACGTTTAACCGAGTTTCTTGACTGGAATGATATTTTCGACGCTGTTGCGTGCGAAAGAATCTAACTTCACTCCTTTGGATTCGAATAAAGGGAATAAAACGTGCGGGAAATGCGATGAAAGTCGAGAAAGTAGTAGGCGGGTGCGCTGTAACGCTCTATGGAAAGGCAATCGCGAGGGCGAGGAAACTTGTCGCTAAAACTTTATAAGCAGTCCGGTGGGAAACTCGAATAGGCACCGAAAGGCGATAAAAACGAATGATGCAGCAGATGTTAACTAAGAATTGGAAAAAGTAAATATGGCAAGTATTCCCGTGACTTTTTTAATATTACGCCAAGAATAAAGAATAAAGACGCGGAAGCAGTTACTGTAAAAAAGCGATTGGATTGTATGATCTTAATAAAATAAAATTTAACTGAGTTTTACATAATGTATAATATGTTATATAATACATAATGTCTATATATAATGGTAATTTTTTTCGCATCTATGAGCGACAAAGCAATTTTTTCTGGGAAAAAATAATTAATAAATTTCCATAATTAATGAATTTCCATCGTTAATAGTTGCTTTTAAATCGACTTGTCGCGCTTCTATTCGTATTGTACGCTTGTGTCAGCTTGTTACGGAAGTTACATAATCTTCGGCTTCGTTATAGTTGGCGTTACCTAGCTAGAAGGCTGCCACAACGGGACCTATTCTACTCAACGTCCGACATCATGATTGCCATCGTGGTTGTCACTCATTGTCAGATTACAGCTACGTCTCCACCGCTTTTAGCAGCGGCATTTCGTTAATCTTTCACGATGTCTATAATGGAGAATATCAAACCGTTTTCCTCACATTTCTAGTAAATATATTTTAACAAATATTATATAAATTATTCACAAGATTAGTAAAAATATTTTATATCAAAGTAAGGCTTTTTTTAATTGTATAATCTAGCTTTTTATTTTGCATTGTGTAATTGTATAATTTATCTTATATTTATAAAAACTTCTTTTATCAATTTGAAAAGAATTATTTTTCTTTTAAAACGGTTATTGAAGCAATAATAGTTTTTAACTTTAAATAATGAAAGTTAAATAGTTTCTCTTTTCACATGCGCGCGAAATGAGAACAAGATTTTATATTCATCATATTTTAAATCGACTTCAACATTTTTACTTTACAAAATTATGTAAAGGTATTTAATTTCGTTAAATATTAAAAAATCGTGAAAAAGAGAGATGAATTCAATTAATCAAAGCTCCTCTAAGTAAAAGCAAGCATAATTGACAGACATCCTCTTCAATTGTAATAACAATCTTAAAATTAGACTGTATTCTTAATAACATAAATGCTTAATAATAGCATCATTTTTTATATTGATACGGCAATTCTGGCGATTTATCGTTTACAAACAAGTCGTATCTACGGATGCAAGCGCCGTGTGATAAATCCAACGTGATTAAGTTACGAATGGTGAGATTTATGTGGGGAAACGTAGCGTACAATATGTGGATGGATGGACGCCACATAAATGCCACAAATTTATCGAGAGAAATGTAAACATTATGAATATTTTTGTTGCCGTATAAAATTCATCATTATTCATCGATTTTTCTTTTCATAAACATTTAAATTTTTACGATTTTATTAAAATTGACATATGAAATTAACTTTCTAAAGAGAACTGTAAAAGAAGTAATAAAACTTAATAATACATTTGAATTGAAGCATACTTAAATATCACTTAGTATATTTAATAAACTACACGTATATATTTTAATAACGAAACTGAAAAAGAAGTGTTTTATATCTTATTTAAAACTGGAAAACTTTTCAAATGTATTAAGCTTAAAATTAATGTTTTCGTATAGTATCAAATAACAGTGTATTCGTATAATTGATGAGTATATTTATTAATTAAATAGCGAAGATAAATTATAATAAAATAAATAAAGTAAATTAATATTTAATATATTTTATGTTATTTCTTTATGTATAATTAATTTTCTTACTAGAATTCCAAAAATTCACGTAATTGCTCTTGCATTTATTCCATTGTTTATTCGCACGTGTCATATACATGTTTTTATTGTTAATTAAAATATAATGTTTCAATTTAACATTTTTGACATCTCTTTCAAACTTTCCAGTTCATTTAAATCAAACCGCTTGACTCGGCACAATGCAACGAATTATTTGAAATAAATAACATGCATATTTATCACACAAAAAATTTTCTGTGGTGTTTCAATAAACTTTAGAAATATTTATATGATTAGAGTAACCAATAACTTACATAATTTTTTTATTATTTTATAGAGAAGATAAAGCTTTATAATTGAAATAATTTAAAAGTTTTTTTTTGTGTAAAAACAAACAGAAACAAACAGAATCTTTATTATTTTTATGTAAATAAATAATTAATGACTCGCTTCAAATATTGCCAAATGATATATTTGTCCATAAATTAAACGTCTTATAATCTTAATAACTCTAGTTTACAAAAAAAATATTTTTTAAATTATTTTAAACCAAGATATTTCTTATAGATTTTTGGATGTTGAAAACGATCGCAAACTAAATTTCATTAGCGTGTTAGGTTTTGGAAATAATTGAGATTTAATATGCAAAAAAAATGACTCTTGCAATATTTTTATAAAATTTTTTTTATAAAAAAGATCAACGTTATCTTGAAATTGATGCTCGAAAATCATGAATGTATTGTTCATTCCCTATAAAATCAGAATTTCCAAATAATGTTAATCTGTTTTATGTAAAAGAAATCTCAAGTATTGTACAAAAAAGCATTTCTGACAGATTAAATTTCAATTATATTGGAAACCTGATATATTGATGAAATTTGATTTACGGTAGCGTTTTCAGCATCCAAAAATCGATAAGAAATACTTTGTCTGGTTTGAAATAATTTTTGGTTGTAGACTAGTGTAATTAAATATTTACCGTGGAATATAACAATTTAATCAAATCCTGACAGCTACATTATTTTTTAAAGTTTAATTTCTATCTCTATCAATTTCTAATTAATTAAACCAAAGATGATATTAGGATCATAATCTTTTTTGCATTTTCTCTCAACATCAACTATGTAAATGCGCGACAATCGATCGAACAACAAAGCTGCCTCGAACTAATGAAATTCCAGGTACTGTGTAAAAGAGATACAAACCAGCTGATGTGGGCGTGAGAATAGAAGAGAAGAGAAAAGAGAGCAGTCTCGACCGAACCGCAACCAGTTTCTCCAATATTTCATTAAAATTATTTAGAAAACTAGCAATAAAAAAATCGATAGAGACTGCTCAGGGAGGTTGCTTTTATCGATAAATTGGCGTAGTGCTCGCGTTCCTTTTACTTGCGTTCTTATTTTTTGTGTCGCTCTAATTCGTTGCACAAAGCTTCAGGAGTTTTCGTCTCCGATATATAATTGTATCAGTAGCTATATTTCTAATATAATTATTATAAAATTAATAACATTTGTATATAAAAAGTTTATTTCAAGTGAGTAAATGTTTTCTTCAATATTTTAGACAGTTGTTTACAAAATAAGTATATTTCCTTATTAAACATAAAAAAATATATTTTCTTTTTGTTTTATTTCTAGAATATGAAAATATAAAATCGATATACTTATAATAACAAATATAGATGAAAACATTTGTAGGAGTGTTATTCGAATTTATAAATCTGCTCTAAATTGATTTAATTTATTTAATATCTACTTTTAAGTAAAATAGTAGATGTAAAACACATAATTTCTTGAGCAGAAAAATTATTTATCTTAAAATTAATTATTTATTTATTTATCTTTGTAATTTGGAAGAAATATTTATTTCGTGAAATATTACAAATAAAAGACAGATTTTATAACATTGCAATATTTCGAATATGCACTTAAAGTATGAGAGAAAATGTGTACACGACTGCTAGGAATTTTTAATTTACATATTCACATGCATATGAACAAGAATTTTGAATTGCGAGTTTTTCCAGACCTTTTAATTCTTAGTAAATTGTTTTTTTATTGTCTTAATTCACATTATCCTAAGATAAAAAAATCATTACTCACCGATACGATAGCGGAGTAGTAATACACAACGTTGATCTGTAAAATACAAATATATTCAAATTAAAGGGAGAAAGCAAAGTTTAAAATAATTAATATTTTACAAAATAATCACTACGCAATAAAATTTTTTATTAGTCTTTCAAATAGATATTTGATAAATAAAATTACATAATTTCAGAAAAAAATTTAGATATAAACTCTTATAAATTATTATATATATATTCAAATTAGAAAGAGAGAAAGAGAGAGCAAAGTTTAAAATAATTAATATTTAACAAAATAATCATTATACGCAATGAAATTCTATTAGTTTTACAAATAGATATTTAATAAGTAAAATTATATAATTTCTGAAAAAAAAAATTATTTCGATACAAACTTTTAAACTTATAAATTATTAGCACGCGAAAAGTTCGCTTAATGAAATTTTCAAGTAGCTAATTTCCATTATTGACGCGATATACTTTATACTTGCGCATAATACAATCTTTTGTATCGATATTCTCGATACACACTTACTTGTAAATAATATTTATTACTAATAATTTATTACTAATAATTTCAAATCATAATTCGGATATATAATGACAAATTATATTTTATGATCTTAATATGTAATATTATATATAATATTTTATTTAATATAATTATGATTGTAGCGATAACGGCATTACTTATATCAGTCCACTGATCGATTATTTTGTTTGATATTTAATTTATTATTACACGCATCTTTATAGGAGAAATAATCGCGCATACGTACATTATTAAAAAATCTGGCATTGTAGTCCAATTCCCAGTGTGCAATACGCGAATTCAACATGGCTGACATGACGTCAACCGGAACTACTGAATGGAATCGGATTAACCCTAACGGAATCGGAAATCAAGATGACGCTACGCGCGTCGTTTACGGGGTATCGCGAGGTTACGGTTATATCGCGGTCATTTGGTGGCGCCGGATCGTTTGCGTCGCAGATAATCTTGCTTGAATATCGAGAATCGTGAATATCGAAATCAGTGTGATCATAGTTATATTACATTATGATACAACAGTTGCAACACGCTATGATACTATTATTATTATAGATATGGAATTTGATCTGGCTTTTATACTGATTTAATTTCAAATCATGTAGGATTTGTGTTAATTTGACATTAATTAAAAATATTGAAAAACTTCTCTTTCAAAATTTATATTGTAATTTAATATCGAGGTTATAAATATTTTTATCAATATTTACGATATCAATATTATCGATATTTTTTAGAATGCAACTGTGTTATTTTTAAGATAATAATATGATACTAGTCGTAAGAATCATTTATCTCGTCGTATTCGAGTGTATTTAAAAAATATATAAAAATATATATAAAAAATCATGGGTAAAAAATCGTGAATATCGTTTATAAGTAATAATATATCGGGAGTATTGAAAAATGTCAAGTTATCTCGTTGTATTATATGTCAGTTATGTATTTTATATTGGATGAACATGCAACAGTTTTGTCAAACCTGTGCGAATGAATGTAGTTTCAATAGTATCATCATTAAAGTAAGTATTACTAAAATTATCGAGAAATTAAATTAGCTATCGTTAGTGAGCAAGCGTATGGAATCAAGAGTACCGAAAGAAGAATCAGACTATCATGTCTCGTACTCAAATATAGTAGGTGTATATTACGATAATATGACGATTATTCCGTGTCCAGTGAATATCACACGCGATTGCAATTCAAAGCGCGCGCACGCATACGTGCACATATGTAATTATGCATACGCGCGCACACATGCATTATTAACTTATATAGTAAATATTATATTATTATTATTATATTAATATTATTATTATAGATATGGAATTTGATCTGGCTTTTATACTGATTTAATTTCAAATCATGTAGGATTTGTGTTAATTTGACATTAATTAAAATATTGAAAAACTTCTCTATTCAAAATTTATATTGTAATTTAATATCGAGGTTATAAATATTTTTATCAATATTTACGATATCAATATTATCGATATTTTTTAGAATGCAACTGTGTTATTTTTAAGATAATAAATTTATTTTAGGAAGAAGATATATATATTAGAAAAAATTTAGTATCTGTATGTAATTATACATTTGTATATAATACACTTTAAAGCTTATAAAATTTAATTCAACATATTAAATATATAAATTTTAATTGTTTCTAATTATTTAAAAAATTTGTTAATTTGTTAATTTTAAAAATAATAAAATTCTATAACAGATCTCTAGTTTCACAATTTTTATGTAATTTAAAATTAAAATTAACTTTTTTTAAATTAAATATATTTCAATTTTATTAATTTCTTTATTTTAGTCTTGATTATGCTATATTTTTCATATTTATATTTTTCATATTTATATTTTGACTGTTTAAGTTATTATTCGGAAAAACAGATTTTAAGATTTTTTAAAAATAAATCTTGTTTTTGATAAACAAATGGATTTATTTTTATATATTGTGTCTAATTTAATGTAATTCAGTTTTAATTAAAAATTTGTTCTTACTTATTTATTTAGTAATTTTATTATTTTGGATAATTATAATTTTTTTAAATAATTTTTATCTAATAAAATGATATCTTATTAATAAAACTATTAATAAATAAAATATTAAAGTATTAAAATATTTTTATTCTATTTATAAGTTAAATTTTTATTCAATTTTTTTATATATTAAGTAATTAATATTTATGTTTTAAAAATATATGATATTCCTATCTTTTTTCTTTCTCTCTCTTTATATAAATTAAAACGCAATTTAAATTAATAAAGAAAAAATATATAAATCTCTTTAAATCTTATTAATATAAATTTAACATAAAGATTTTTTTAAATAATAAACGAAACCAAAGTGATAATTTTTTCATTAGATTCAATTACTGCATCTTGAAATAAAATATATAGGCTAAAATAATCAAGGGAAGAGATCTTTTTATACTGGAGATTTATATAAATAGCTTACCTCACGGTTGCTCCAACATTGCTCGATGTCGCCTCAGACGTCCTCCTCTTTTCTTATCTATCCTTTGCTGCTTCTTCAAAGCACTCACTCGCGATTAATTACAATTGCGCGTGCATTAATTAGCAAAATACGACAATTACTATTATTTAATTCGCGATATTTTACGCGGCACTTTTGTCATTAATTGTAACGCGACAAATACGCGAATATGGTCGCACAATAGATTCGAACTCTATTGTATCTGACATATTTTATTAGTGATCGAAAATTACATTCGATTGACATTATTTTACCGCACGATATTATGCAAGCTGAATAGATTTTCAACATAAATCCCGCAAAATGTACGTATTATTAATAAACAATCGATGTATCATGCCTTTTCATTAATTGAATCAATTAGTCATCGCTATAATACTCGTGCACATTTATCGGTTATAATAATCATTTCTATAATTATCTATTAGAGGCATTTTTCAGTCTAACAAATAATTAGAAATTTGAAAACAATATCAGCGAACTAGAAGAATATGTGCCATTAATTATTAGTCGCAACAATTATAATAAATGATCGTATTTGCATTTGATCGATTTTTGCATTTCGTAGTATTTTTCGATCACATTTTGGACGTATATTTAAGTATACTATGAAAAGTAATCGTGTTTCGAGAGGCAATACGTAATTGTTATTAGAAAAATATATATAATACATGATCATTTTATTATCATTCGCGCAGTGAAACTCGAGTGGATAATGTCTTTGTAAGACACCTCTCTTAGTGTACGAACGTTGACGGAATAATAATCTTTTTGTCGTTCCTTGTCCTTTTCCCCTTCTCAATCCTTAGTTGTAGTGGGGCGTACACCCCACTACACCACATTGGCATACAACTCGAGTCTCACGGCGTGAATGACAACAAGGCTATTGCATGTCAACGATAGCACAACGTCACAAGGACGAACACCGGACGGTCGATTCATTGACATCGTGAAATATTCAAATGACATGAAAAACATCTCTCAATGCCGGCAGAATATATTTTGTTCGTCCAATTTAATTTGATTACTTGAACCAAATCTCTAATTATTAAATTTAAATTTAATTAATTATTTATAAACATTTATAATTAATACATCAAGAATCTTCGAAACTTGAATAATTCGATCTTGTGTGATTCGTAAGTTACTGCGTTTATTTTTTCAATACGCAAGCAATTGGCAAATTATATATAAATTGGCAACAAATTTAACGAAAGGCCATATATATATATATATATATATATATATATATATATATATGAATTTATAAGCCTATTAAAAAAGGAAGCATTCGTTATAAATAAAATTTGTAATCGGCTTGTAATAGACTAAAAAAAAATTTATATTTCCCATTCTCTGTTGGATTTCTACTTTAAATGAATATATTGTAAAAGGTATTTATATATTCGTACCATGTTAAATATTTCGTGACGTCAATGAATTATAATCTCCGAAATTCCGTATTCAGATTTATCAACAATATTCGATGCTCGTATTTTTGTAGCGGATAACTCACTATTATTGACATGCGACGACCTTGTTTTCATTCGTACGATGAACTCGAGCAAAGGCAGCAAAGCTATACATATACTCCGTATATTGCGTGTTTCTTCGAGAAATACGAATGCAAATAATTTTAATTAAACTATTTCCACTTATGTTACAATGTATAAGAGATAGTAATTATTCCAATAAATATGTTTGTCCGCACAATAGACGTAGTATCTTCGAATTATCTCTTAAAACACAATTATTTAATTTTTTTTTTTTAATTATTAATGATAATTCATCTGTGCGCGTTTAATGCAAATTTATGCGATCGCGACTTTTGCGTTGTTCTATTTACGTCGCAATATAATAAAGTGCGTGTCGCGTATGATTTATGTCGCGATATCGTTTAACAAAATGTTGTGCGATCGTCGTATTTTGTTGGTTAATAATGCGCGATCGTAATTAATTGTATTTCCACAAGTGAATGCTATAAAGGAGCAGTAAAGTAAATAAAGGAAAGAAGGAGGAAGAGGAGGAAACCGAAGGTGGCATCGAGCAACGACGAAGCAACCGTGAAGTAAACTATAACTTAATTAATTTATTATTTGTGAAAATTTGATTATACTTGTTTATCTTTGCGATAGTAATAATCTATTTTACATAATTGTATAATAAAATATTCCTTGTTTATTTAAAAGAAATATTTAAAATATATATTATAAAATATTTATTATTTATATATATAAATGACTAAGATTTATAATTATCTAGATCATTTATATACAAATTAGATTATTATAATTAAAAATATTAAAATTATTTATAATTTTTTAAAATAAAATCTTATTAAAAGTCAAATCAATTTTTTTTCCAAAAATTATATAGTTTTACTTATTAAATATATTTTATCTATATTTTTGAAATTTTAAAAGTTTTAAATTTTATTCTAATTCGAATGTATATTCTTATTTACAGATCATCATTGGGTGCTACAATTTCGCCACTGTATTATTGGTGAGTAATCAACTATTTTTTTTACTTCAGTAATGAAATAATGGATAAAAAAATTATTTTATAATAATCAAGATTTGAAAAGTTTGTAATAATTTAAAATTTTCGTTTGTACGTTAACGTGCATACGTACTTAAAAATTTCAAACAATTGTACTCAAGAATACAAATATAACAATACATTTAAAAAGATACATTTAACAATATATTTAAAAAAGATCTTCTATTATAGGAAAAAAAGAATTTGTTAGAAATCAGAACTAGAGAGAATAGAGCAAGGATTCCGTTTAGCTTGCAGACTTGAATTACTTAGCATACATTTGAATCTAAATATACCAAATCATTTTTTTGCGTTTTAGATAAAGAGATATATAAATAAACTTTATTCCATGGAATTGATTTTGTATAAAGAAGTTTATAATATTACTAAAGACAGCACAATATCGTGAATATCTTTAAATGAAATGAATCTTCAAATGTTATAGAGATAAAAAGAATATAAAAATAAGAATATACACCCTCGACTTAAGCGAATTTTTATTAACTTTTTATTAACTTTTTTTTTTGACGATGCAAGATGCGAAGAATCCTTGGCAAATATTTTTGCGCGAAACAGACACACGTACAGAGGGAGACGGCCACGAATTTTCAAGAAAGCTTACGGTTTTCCTTTTTTATCTCGTTTTGAATAAAAAAATAGCTTCGTCGGTCGGTCGCTCGTATTACGGCAATAATCAAGACGGCGCGAAATGGTCCCGCGGCGCCGGTAAATACGGGGATGTCCTGCGGGAGGATTAAGAAGCAGGAAAAATTTATTACACCCTGCGGGGCGGACGCGCTCGCGAGATTCGTTCGAATTCCACGTGAGAGGGATCGATATTTTTTCGCGCACAACCACTTCCTATGCAAACTCACGTGTGCTCTTTCCACTTGGGACAGCGTATCTTCTCTTGTCGATCGCTTCTCTCGATCTCGCCGAGATCTATCTCTCTACTCTTGCAGATCCTTTGCTGAATTTGCTATCGAATTTACTCGTTTTGGATTAAAGTTAATAAAGCAGCTTGGGCACTCAAACTTCGTTATTTCCTTGGAGCAATTCGTTCTTGAATGGGCGAGGATAGATCGATGAACGGTTGTACCGTCGTTGGATGTAATTACCGCTGTATTGTGGGGGAATAAAAGTGAGACAGGCGACCTTTTACGCAGCTATTTCATTTTCCAAGGGGATATTTCTTTTGTTATGTTACGAACGAAACAGAGATAACTGTACTGTCCCGATGTTTTCCCAAAGGTATTCTCCCCATCTCGCGATATTTTTGCACGGATCCCCTATCGGAACATAGCGCATGCTGTGTCTGGAGATACAGACGTATCTTCGTAAAATAATAAATTGCGATTACTTAAGATATTATTCGCGCACAAGTATAGCTATAATTTATGATGATAATTATCTACAAGTTTGCCTGGAGCATGTCTGGATTTGAATATGCAAAAAGTGCTAAAGAAGTTATATTTAGAATTAGTTCCTTACTTATTATCGTCATTTTTCAATAGTATCAGAGTAAATATTTTTTTAGCATAATAAAACACGAAATATGACAACAAAGTATTATTCTTGTTAAAGTACATTTTATTTATTGTAAAATAGTATTAGAAATTACTTTTTGTCCACATTTTCAAAATTTCATAGCGTCTTTAAAAATTTTTAAATTATTAATAAATTTTAATTATTAATTACTTGATAATTAAAATATACTGTATATCTTATTTTAAAATATAATGCATTTCTTATTTTAATTACATTATATGTGATTGAAGAAAGCACAGACATAAACGAATTAGAGAGAGTTATCTATAAAAATTATTTAAAATTTAAAATTTCAGAAAAATTTAAATTTTTCTCTTAAATATTTAATATTTTAAATTTTAACTTCTATTTTTAAATTTAAACTACTTATGTATATATAACAGCGTTGAAAATCTCTCTTTTATATGGATCAAAAATTATAAATATAATTTCATTTAATTATATCATCATTCTTTACTGTTACTTTTTTCGCAATAATTTATTCGTATCGATAAATTATTCAAAAGTTTGTACATACCAGGATATGCAGTTTTCTTCAAAATGTGATATGATTTTCTCCGATCGATCTCTGGCTCAATCTGAAAAATAAATCGATAATAAATGAATATTTATGTCGTATACATGTCGCGTGAATAAAAAAACACCGTAAAAATTTATCGAAAGAATTCAGTATCTGTATGAAACACTGGTTGCTGCTTTCATTTGTTATTCTAAATCTTCTCTTCTAAATTGTTCTCTTCGTACAGATCTTTATGGGCAACGTGTTGATTTTATGACGGATCATGCTTAAATCTCATACACCCTCGCGAAACCGTAGTTGCGTAGAAGAGAAAGTATTGAATTGCAGCTAACAAGTCGCAAAGTTCGTCGTAAAGTCAAGCCATTTAGAAGAAAAGGGACTTGTATATTGAAAACTCTACAAGAGAGCCTTCCACCTCTTCGCGAGTATGAATAATTATTTCGCGATACACAATCGCTCTTATAGTAAATGTTTGGAAATTCTTCGGAATTTGCGAGGAAGTATAAGAGGTATACCAAGAATAGGGTAACTCGTTTAATTTTTATGTCGTGCGTAATAAAGTGCGTAATAAAACTCAACCTGAGTTGAAATTTTTCCTCTACTTTCAATCTCAATTTTCTATTTAATATTTACTTTGATACTTTAAGCAAGTCAGATTACCTTCTTTTGAAACTATTTAACTTATAACTTCTACCCAGAATGGCGAAATTTTATTTGAGTTAGAATTTTACTTCTACTTTAATATTCCTTAAAGAATTTCTCAATTTTTTTTTTTAATATGTTATTTAGTCTGTAGACTGTATTATTTTTTTCAATCATATTGTAATTTTCGATTACATTAATGAATATAGAAACCTTTCAATATTTGTACACAAATATAGTATTTATAAAACAAAAACGAAAAATTATTTATAATGTAAATACATACATATATTTTAGTTATTACAATTGTTAAAAAAATTATAGTAGAAAAGTAGAATTCTGACTCAAGTGGGTTTTGTGATTTTAAGTTATAATTTAAATAATTTTTAAATAAATGATTTGACCGCTTAAAACATTAAAGTAGATGTTACATTGAAAATTGAGATTCAAAGTAAGATGAAAATTTCAATTCAGGATGGACGTATTGCTAGATCCACACCTGTGGAACTTTAGGTAAGATCGTGCTTTTTTGCTAAAACAGAAAATCGAGACATCTTCCTTGCCTCGGTAAATAAGATAAACTCGGTTTCCTCCTCTTATTCTGAGTGGCATTCCAATCGAGTACAATTCCATACGGGGTACACGAATATATTGAACGCGTCGTACGCGGAATACATTTAAGACGTATCACCACAATAGACACGTGTTGCATGGACCGTCTTTCATCTGGAATGTAATCGCCGGCCGTGTCAACGGTAAACTTAGTATATAGATGACTCATAATTTGCATGTTTAATGATTTTTGAAGATATAAACGCGTTTATTTGCGTTTATTTCGTATAAATTGTTATGAAAGTTTGCTCTATAATTAGATTTCCAAACCTACCAATCAAACCATTAATTATTAACATGTGTTTAGTTATTCGATATTTAAATCACCTCAACTCGAAGCTTGTACTTTTAATTTTTTATGTTTAGTCTAACTGATTTCGAGAAATTTAATTATATATGAATTGATCTTAAAATTTAATTTGTATAAGAATTGAATTCCTATTTGGTATTCTCAAAAATAAATAATAAGCTATAAACTAACAGAGGTTTACATAATAGAAAAAAACTATTTCGGCAAAACTATAGATTAAACAGTTGTTCAAATAATCTGATACTTAAAGTATCAAAATAGATTGAAAATTAAAATCGAAAATAGAGGAAAAATTTCGACTCGCAATGTCAATACCGATCTTGCATATCACATAGTCATTAAAGCGCAATTTAGTCATAATTTTACTTTAAACACGCGTGACAAGAAAGATAGAGAGGAAGAGAGAGAGTGAAGTTAATCATCTTATGAACTGCTAATTAAATTGTTCCCGGCTCACATGCTATCCCGAACTTCTCCGCATTTTATAGACGAAATTACGTTGCATAAATATGTCGCGCTATATAAGGCAATTACGCCGAAATTTTCCTACAATTAATAAAGCTTCTAATAAAAAGGCTGTAAAAATTTTTAATACGAAAATACATTCCTAGTGAATACAAATATGTATAAAAATATATTTAATCGATATTACATCGTTAAATAATATTTTTTTCGATTTATTATTATTGAAATACATTTTAGCGCAAATAAATTAAAAAAAATTTAGTTTACAAAAATAGATTATTTTTCTTCCTATTAAAAATTAATTTATATTTAAGGACAATTGTTTCAAAATTATTAATTTGATTATTCTTGAATAAACGCACTTACTGTGAAGAAAATAATTACCTTAATAACTTTTAGAAAAGCACCTTTTTCTTTAAATTAATTAAATTTTATTAATAACAGGAAAAAGCTACCTCTTGTATGTAAATATTTTTATTTAAAAAAAGAAATTCTCTCTCTCTCTCTCTCTCTCTCTCTCTCTCTCTCTTTGTGTGTATTTAATTGCATCTACAAATTAATATACGAAGTTCCTTTGATGTAAAATAACAAAGATATATTTATATTATTTATTAGGAAGAGTTTAGAATATTAACGGAGAAATATTTTCGCGATTAACCTGAAATTTTCCAAGTTTGCATAGGGAGTTACGGATAGCTTCCTTTACATCCTACATCGGCAGGTAACTTTTGGCCCTGCCAGCCAACTACTTGATAGGCTAACATGGTCTGGTTCTGCGAGCACCTTGTTGCAAGTGACTTGCGCCAAGTTTCGGTTAATGCGTCTAACTATACGCTAAACTTTAATCTTTAGCCTGGTTATTTGCATAAGAATAATAAATTGGCCGCCAGAAACGTTTATTTCTCGAGCAAGTTTGCGGATCTGTATCACGATTACTCGCTTCTTCTATGCGGTGAATAACGACAAGTGATTTTAAAGGCCGGGAAACACTCTCTCCGTTTATTATTATGATCTATTGTTGCGAGCGACGACGGAACGGGGGGAATTATATTGCGGTCAGTGATCATTAGCGAGTTTACTCTCTGCGACTGGAAATAATTCACGCTGCGCGATATAATGGGCGGACGCTTTTAATTATAACTATCGCATACATTTATTTACAAATGGTGCGCGCACGCGCGGCATTCGTTCCATTAAATTAATTTCCATAACGTGCAAACGTAATCCTGCTGCTGTAATTAAGAGGGTATACGCATCAGCATCGCGCGCAAGTAGAAGATCTGTACAATTTTGTTGGTTTCTCGTTCCCGATTGGGAAATCTATGCAATCGGCACGTCGATCAACAGCAAAACTTCGATACTCGGTGGTGAAATAATTGCTTCATCGTATCGGAAAAGTTTCTTCGCCAATTCTGCCTGATACTCGATGCTCGTTGCTACTTCGCGATTGCCTCGTACAGAAAGAGAGAGAGAGAGAAATTCATTTTATTAAACACCCTAAGATAATACTTGAATGACGATATTTCGCGCGAATATATCTGCAACGACTGTTTCTTCAGAACCCTTGTATTAATCGATTTCACCGGAGACTTCTTCTGGGTATATATATGTGTCACAGAGGTTCCTTAACTCGCACAGTGATACTAACGACGTGGAAATTACCGGAGCGGCATTAAGCCAGGAGATAATCGTGCGGAATCTTGCTGGGATCTCCTAAACCTTCCAAGAATTACGCGGGAAATTACATTATATCACGACTGTGCGATTATTTTTCGCATTTGGATAAAGGAGCTATGTAATCCTTAATATTTCTCGCACATCTTGCACTTTCGACTCGCGATTTAAAAGGATAATTCACGTGCGAATTAACGAGAAGATAAGTTTCCGGTATCTTTGTTCGATCTTCTCGAATATTCGTTATCTTAATCAGTGCGATAAGCAAGTGTAGCTCTATCACGAACCTATACCGCGTCGAAAGTTCCCTTCTTGCGATTAGTTTTCTCTAGCTCAGGGTAGGAGCTGCGACTGTATATATTTCGGAGAATCTGCGTTGCTTCCGCAGTAGACGATACCACGGATTTGCCTCTCAATTTCGATGTTAAAAGCGCATCCGTGAAACGCATCCGTGAATATTGCCGCCACAGAATGAAGCAATCAAAACTTGGTTACGTTATTAAAATGCGGTCACACGTGAATTTTGTCGTAGATTTCGAAATTGGCGATTTAATTAAAAACATATATACTGATTTGCATAAATTGACGCGGAGTATCTGTCGTCATAAAAGAAACGTTTCAATTTCTGTTGTTTCTTCTCTCGAAATAGCACCATTTGTGAAACGCAATCTTAGATCATATTTAAATAGGGTCGAAATACGCAAATCGCAAATTTAATCGTCAGCCATTTGAGAACTTGTTGCTTTAATTCCTCGTTTCTGGCAGTTTTTCAAGTTGCGCTCACGGAAATACCTTGTTAAATAATCAATGAGCAAGCTGATTATCTCGAGACTCCATTTAATTTTTGTTCGTAATACAAGCTTGCGCTCTGTAATTATATTTTTGATCGACTTGAACTCTCACTTGTGATTTATTAGCATTTCTAATTCATCCATTACCTTAAATTTATACAATCTGGTAAGTTGAATATAATCCGAGGCACACGTTAAATTCATGCAATTCTTTAATTGATTATATTACAGATTATTATACATAAATCTTATGCGATGAAACGACGATGAAGATAAAAATGCGAAGACAGCATAACTTTATTCTTTTTTTTCTCTCTTTCTTTCTTTTTTTCTTTTTCTTAAAATTTGCGTAAAAGAAGGAATTTTATCAGAAAGAGATCGCATTGCGATTTAATATAATCTGGCCAAATGTAAAGATTTTTACATCTCGACTATTATTAGCTGTGTTCTAATTTTCAGAAATTAGATCATTGCTACGAAAATGTCATGATTATTCTGTATTTGCGAACTAGATGTTACACATTTTTCTGAAAAATGTATCGTTTTTTATATTCCGTCAATTTA